TTCCCTGTGGTACATCTATCCAAACTCAAGAGGGTTAGAGAGTTCCCCGACCGACCGAGTGCCACGTTAGAGACGGACGGAAGATCGGGTCGACTTCGATGAATGCCTGTTGCCGGAGGACAGTTGAGCAAGAGGGCTGGAAGAGGGAGAGTACGAGGTCGAAGAGATCTTGGAAGCCCGCACTGGAAAGAAAACACGTTACGGAACACAGCAACGAGAGCTCCTCGTCCGATGTAAGGGTTATAAAGACCCCTCGTGGGTGGATGACGTGGATTTGAATTGTGGAGTCTTACTTCGGATTTCGAACGTAAGGAGACGAGGAGGAACCGTTTCAAGGCGATGCAAAATCAAGAGGAATAGACGCCAAAATCGAGGTTCCTTGTCGGTCGACTAAAGTCTATAGTAGGTAGACCCCGGTCCCTCGTTGGTAGACCTTGGTCTGTAGCGTAAAGTGTGGTGAAGAAAACAAAGTGGCGCAAGGCTCGAAAGAAGAAGGGAAACATAGATTCAAGATGGAGACTGGCAAAAGAGGAGCGCAAGTATATTATGGAAGCGCTTATGGTTTAGGGACGATCTTGTCCCGGAGACGCGGCACTGAGTACCCGGGATGAGGCTCGGACGAAAGTCGGTACTGGGAGATCCATTGGTAAGTGTCGGAGACCCGCACGGCATCCAGCAGGTTGGCCGGATCTGACCTTCCTCGCACCCTGGGAATCAGTATACTAACAGCAAGGTCGGGGAAGGTGCCGGAAGAAGGGGCCGATCAGGATGTCGAGGTCGCACCTACTGTCACTTATCCCCTTGAAGAGTAGCGACGACCCCTCGCCACGCCCGAATCTCACGACCCCGTCGTTTCTTCCGGGCGTTGTAGTACGACGGGATGAAGGAGATAGAGAGTGCTTGATCCTTTGAAATCCACAAGCAGTGGGTGGCCTCCCAGATCACCTGGCTGTGGTCTTCATCGAAGCGCAAGTAAGTCGCCTCCAGTTCTGCAAACCAGCCCACTGGTTTGAAGGATACTAGGGGGTCGATATTCGAGCTGACACCCAGGGGCGGGTGGCCAAGAGGTTCTGGAGCATCGAGGAGTTTACCAACGACGACTTCTACTTGGAAGGTCGGTCAACCTTCCTGTCTGGTGGACCAAACCAGCCCCAAGGCACTTCCAGGCGGTCGACCAAGTCGCTGGGGGTCATCTTCACGACACTCAATGAGCTGACCATGTCGACAGACCACGGCTCCACCTCCGCTGCAGTGAATGTCTTCACCTGCATGTACAAAGGGATGAAGTCGCCCTTCGAAAGTTTGAGTGACTCCCCTGGAGGAGAGTCCGCCTTGGTGACTGGGGCTGGAGCCTTCTCCCCCGGGACCGACTCAACCTCGGAGTCCGAAGACCCAAACATGGCGCGAGTTAATCCTGGACGGGGGTGAGCGACCGGTCGTGAGATAGAGTCAGCCGAGACAGCTAGAAGAGGCGGGTCGGTAGGCGAAGTATGACGCCGGGAGAACCGCGATCGAGCCAAGGTCGCCCGGACCACTTCACTGACCTGCTCGCCGTGCCATCATCAGGGTCCGGAGAGGGTACCAAGGGTAGACCCTAGGGGGTCCCCGACTTGGGCGACGACGAGGCGGGAGTACTGGCGGTGCTTGACTTGGCGGCCTTGGGGACCTTAGCGGTTGCCTTGGCCGCGGTGGTAGGTACTGCGGGAGCAGTAATGGGAGGAGCCGCGAGATCCTGGAAGGGGGTCCTCGTGCCCCAACTCCGCCACCATAAGAGCGTAGCGGCTCTGGCGATAGTCCATCCGCCACCGCAAATGCTCCGCCAGCGATCTCTCTTGCTGGAGTTCTTCGCGCAACTGAACCACGAGGCGGTGAGTGTTTTGCAGCTCTCGTTCGAGGAGCTCACACCAGGTGGTCGAGTAGGCGTCGGGGGTGAAGACGGCGGTAGGTCGACCTTCGTACGTCTCAAGTCGTCGGCTGTGTGCATCTAGAATGTCTTGCGGATCGCGTAGCACCCGAGGCGCGGGGTTCATCACAGCAGAGGAGCTAAAGGTCGACTGAGAGTCATCCATGTCTGGGGGGAGGGGACCCTCACCACCTACGACCTCAGAAGGAACCACAGTAGACTCCCTTGGAAGGGGCATCTGGAGAGGAGTGTCGATCGGTGTTTGGGAGGGAATTGCGCCTCTGGGTCAACGATAAGGGCAGGAGTGTCCAAGACCGGCCCCTCGGCCGTTGGCTCTACCCCAGAGGAAGGAACAGCTGAGATGCATCAAGTCAGACAACGTATATCGAACAGCTAAACAAACAAAGTGTACTTACGGGATGGAGAAATCGAAGGCATGCCCGTGTTCAAGCGGCTGTGCCGTTGATCAAGTGCAGAGGGCGGCTGTTGTGAAGCGTTTCAAGAATTGGTAGGCCAGAGGACCGGTGGGTCAAAAAGAAGGGGACCCGTCAAGGGGCGACCGTCAGGGAAGGGACAGAGAGACGGGTGCTAGAAAATGGTCGGGGGACGACCGTTGGATGAGGAGATTGTACGGTGTAAGCGTGCTCCATTCAGAGGTGTTTAGCGCGGTTAATCCTATGGACCGCGGTTGCTCGAGGTGGACCCCAGTCTTTCGTTCGTAGACCCTGGTCCCTCGTTGGTAGACCCTGGTCTTTCGTTGGTAGACCCTGGTCCATCGTTGGTAGACCCTGTTCTTTCGTTAGTAGACCTTGGTCCTTCAGTCGGTGGACCCTCGACCCCTAGGCCCCTCGGCTCGCAGAATCAAAAACCAAGTCTCGGAGTAAGGATAGAGTAAAGAAGTTAAAAGATAGGACCATATTAAATACTACTCAATCTGCGATCTACATAGCACACCTCCGTCGTGCTTCCAAGGTACTTACTAAGTCTACCCACCTGATCCGGGAAGGGATACATTTTGTCCCTCCGTCGACGACAGTTGTGTGGTAAGACCCAAGTGCGAATAGAGCCCCAGGATACATTTGGCCTGTGGGTTCGTCTGAGTAGCACCCCCCCCTCCCCGCTATCGGAAGCGGTCTCCCTACCCTAGTGGTCCGGGAGCAAGTAAAGGACAGGCGGTTAACACCCCTGACATATTAAGTAAAAGGCTGGGGTTGAGATCTCCCCTGAAGATTTTGGTTATAAGTCCACCCTCGACCTAGTCGACCGAGTGTCCACCTACCCGCCTACCGAGTGAATTATACACACTCGAGGCACCCCAAGGTCAACCAACATCACATCTCAACCAAGTCCTCCGAAGATTGCAACCCGCCAGCCGACGGGTACACAAGGTGAGCGAAGGTCTATACGCGGCATCGGGGTACCCCCTCAGTCCGGCACAGTGAGTGGCTTGGGGTCTCATTACGCAGTTTTGAGAACCCACTCCACCACAAGTTATTTACGCGATTGCAGTAAATACGACACTTATAGCTGCCTCGATCCACTCTGGATCTTCCCTTTCCATTTCTTGGTTGTCCTCTTGACCGTCTAGTAGATATTCTGACCACTTGAGCCGTCTAGTAGATGTTCTGGCCACTTGAGCCGTCTCGTATAGGTCCCTTGATTGAACGCTGCGTCCGATCGCAGTTGACTTGATTTGAGTATACCTAAACCCTTGGCCAAAATCTTTCAGGTGATCTGCTGTACGTATGTGACCTATCTTTATCCAATGGGGCCAATAATTCGGAGAGATAAGAACACGCGTACGATCAGATGTTACCTGTGTATTAGTCACTAACCAATGCCTACACCAATCACTAGCCTAAGGTAGAAACATCACCTATGGCTAACCTAGCAAATTCAATACTACCCCAATGTCCAATAATCCCAAAAACTACCATCTTGCCTACTTGTATGATAGGATCGACGCCACACGTCGCCTTAGTATCGATCGTGATCCCGTGTATGTGGTACACACCACGAGATCTAATCCGGGGGCTCGATCTGCGACAGCGATCCGAAGTAGGTGGCTCACATCACGCGATCCGAAGTAGGTGGCTCACATCACGCGATCCGAGCCGCCGACGACTGGGTCCACGATCGTGGTCCCGTGTATGTGGTCCACACCACGCGATCCGATCTGCTAACGACTTGAAACCCAATCGTGGTCTGGAATGTGTGGTCCACACCACGCGATTTAATGCGTAGACGACTTGATCGGCTAGGCTTGATCGCGGTCCGTATTGTGTAGTCACACCGTGAGATCACTTTATTGACCAATTATGTGCGATTCGGACTTACCACAACCATTGGATCGCCCGCAAAAAGCCACTCCTTACATCTCCACATGTGTGCCAATGAGCAATGGCCGCAAGCAATAAGTAAGGTCAGTTTGCATTTAATAGTTGAGAGTAAAACCTTGTTAAGACGTATATTTCTTAGGTCTTTGACCATTTTATTCGGTTATTGCATCGTTGGTTCCTAAAACTAAGAAACTCTCTGAATCTAAGTCTTCCTCTGTCGCTTGCCATTTGCACCCCGCTGCAGGAACAGTAAAACGTCTCGGTTGCTGAATTGGCTACAAGTGCTACCAAATGCAGCGGGGCTGCAAGTGGCTAGCGCCAGAGAAAGACTTCGACCCAGATAGTCTCTTCGTTTCTTCGAACCAACGATTAGATACCAGAATCAAGAACGGTCAAAGACTCAAGCAATGCTTTACTCCCCATGATTTAAAACGGGAGCTAAAGTTTAGTATTGCTTGCGGACATCGCTAATTGGCCAACATGCAAGCTTAGTTAAATCATAAAGAAGCTATGTAATATATGCAACGAGTGGCTGCAACGCCGCCCCTCCTATATGGTATACGCACTGTGTACTTCTTTCTCGTGTGTGCCTACACACCATAACGTAACGTGTAACCCCGTTTACATCGGAATGGAATTGATTGGCTTCAAGATGTCTTTTCCACTCGCTTATTGTCCTGTTTTTAGTATGAAATCAATGAAAAAAGGATTAAGAAATCGTACAAGTTTACTACTAACTACAGCCTTTCGTGATCGTAATGGAATTTCTTGTCCCGTTGCATGTTGCCGACCTAGAGTTAGCAAAAGCAGGACGTTATCATGTTCAAACAGTACAAACATTTGAAGATGAGAATGAAAAAGAGATTGTAATACATATTCAGCGACTAGAGGATCAAGTATTAGGTAGTGAAGCAGGTTTAGAATTGTTACAAGAAGAGTGGTTCGACTTGACATATAGTCTTGTAAAGAAATTACCATTACTGTCAGATTCAATACGAATGCGTTTGATTGAAATGCTCTCAGCTTTTGTAAGCAACGTTACGGAAAGCGTCTTGACAAGACGTCATGATGATGATGGAGATGACATGATATTCCTTCGTAGCACTTTTAAAGCTAGTGTCTACTTTCTTGTAACATCACTTACAAGTGTCTGTAGTCTACAGATACAAGTAGAGAAAGGTATTCTAAAGACGAAAAAGACCCAAGCATCAACAAGTAATCGGATTCATTGGAGTAAAGTGGTGGAAAGTGCTATTCAAAAACTCAGTCGCTCTATTAGCCCAGCGACCTTTAGTATGTGGAATATGAAGGTACCAGAGGAGGTATGATCACGACAGAAAGGAGATATTGTTTTTACTTTTATTGCTGCTGCCTTGTTGCTAATACCGTTTCTTTCTTGCTGCTAGGAGTTCTCAATGCTCTACTGCAAAGTTGTCTTTAAGTTGCTTGGCAACGCGACGCTTTGCCGCGGAAAATCGCTCAAGCCAAAGCTCTACCATGTTCGTCGTGCTTTTCAGTTCTAGAGTCGCAGCTCACTGACTAATAATGTGCTGATATTCTTTGCAGCTTCTCGCGATGAGTCTCCAGAAGGCACCGGCTATCCATATTTCGGTGGTAGCCTCGGTTATCGACCTTATCTACACACATGAGCATTTAAGCGCCCCCATTGCAGAACTGGTTGAACTGCTCTTTTTCAAGTATTCCAACACAACCTTTGCATCGGATCTCATCAGCGAGATTGGGAAAATATCATCTCGGGACGCCTCAAAAGATGTAGCGGGAACGCGGAACATTGCCATGTTCCTTTCAAGTCTATCAACGCTAACTCCAGCGTTGATAATGGGAAATCTGAGTTTTGTGTTGGCTTTGTTGGACTCGGAAGCATATCAGCTTCGAAATGCTGCTGTTACATGCGTAACACAAATTCTGCTTTGGAATTTCCGGCAGAGCCGACAACCTGATGATACTGTAGTTAATGAGGTGAAGAAGAAATCACGGAGGCTGAAAAGAAGCGACAGAGAAACAAAGAATGATCTGTCTGACAGCGACAACAACAGTGACGAAGAGGACAGCAGTAGCAGTGACTCTGTTAATGAGGAGGAGGTCGAAAAGCCCGACAAAGAATCCCCGCGTACGTTTTCTCGTTCGACAAGAGACCAGTTACTCAGCGTGCTTGAGGATCGCATCCACGACATCAACTCGTTTGCGCGCAGCCATGTATTAAAAATGTGGGCTCTTTTTATGTGAGGAAGGTGCCTTGCCGCTACATATGCTAAAGAACGTGACCTTAATGGCCGTGGGACGGTTGCAGGATAAGGCAGCGGTGGTTCGCCGTCATAGCATTCACTTACTCTCATTGCTATTGGAAAGAAACCCTTTCATGGGTAATCTAAATCGTAAATTTTATGCGAAGAAGCGTGATGCGTTAACAGAGGAGATGAAGAAGAAGCGGGATGAAGTAATTGCCGGTGCGGAGAAGGAGATTAACGAAGCGATGGGTGAACTCATTATTGTAAACGAAGGCACGGCGGCCCCTTCAACCGCAATCTCTTCGGATGAGCAAGGTGCTTTGCTTGAAAAGGAGCTACAGAAGACCGTGCAGCTGCTGAAGTTTTACCAGGATGCTATCGATTTTATTGATGAGTTTGAGCTACAAGCAATCCCATTGATGGGCCAACTGCTGGGAAGCAAATCAATGTCTGATGTGCTGGAAGCTATTCAATTTTTTGAAAAAGCATACCGCTTCCGTCTAGGCGCAGCCCAAGCCGGAATCAAAAAGGTTTTGCCACTGACATGGCGGTCTGATGCATCTCTACAAGAGCAGCTGTCCAATACTTTCGTGGCTTTATTCATTCGCATTGATGAGGATGACCCTGAGCGAAGCTCGCCGCAACTTGTGGCAGAAAACCTTGTGAAGTTTTTGGATGAGTGTACTGTCGCTGAGTACACGTGTCTTGAGCGGATCATGGGTGAACTCCATCGTAGCCAAAAGGTGCCAATGGTAGTAATCAGCTCTCTTTGGGGACTTGTGGATGTGACAGTATACCCAGTCTCTGTCGTAAGCAACGCGTTGGCTCTACTTAGCATGATCGCGAATATTGATGATTCGATGTTGTTTTCGAACGATCGTCTCGGCCAGGTCCTCACGATGGGTTTTGGTGACGTGGCATGTAGCCCAGACTCACGGTATCGTATTCTTGGAGCTGCCTGTCGTTTGGTACAATGCATTCAGCTGGAGCCGAAACAATTAGTCGCAAAATCTAGCAGTCAAACGCAGAGACGTATACAGCGCTCAAATCTAGATGCGACGGAGCAGATCGTTCTTCGCTTGCAGCGATTTCTTGCTCTAGATTTTGTGGGTGACAATGGAATTGAAATGGCGTGCTTGCATTCTACATGGTTTGACACCGTGCAACAATCGATTGAATCCATTTTCTCCATTTGTGAGCGTCCAGAAGACGTTTGTGGTGACGTGGTTAAGCATTTATCGCTGCGTCTCTTTGAAAGTGAGACGAACGATGTGTCGCGTGTAGAGCTGGCACATTTTTTTTTCGTGTTGGGTCACTCGGCAGTGAAAGTAGCTATTCATGTGGAAAAACTGGCTGCGAAAGTGAAGAAAATGCGTGGCAATCGCAATGCAGCGGCTAAGCCGGCTGATAATTCTGCGTCAAATGGCGATGCTGAAGACGTTGCTGCGATGGAGGATGAACTTGGTGTGGCCGCTGAGGTCGAGGCAGAGGAGGACACTTTTGTGAACAATATTATTCAAAAGGAAATTGCCTGCCGCAACCTGCTTGGAATGTATGGTCCACTTATCATCCGTGTGCTTGTGGGCACAGAGGACGAGTTCAAAAGTGACGAGCTATTGACAGAGTGCGCGGTGGTAGCCCTGAGCAAATTCATGGCTGTATCCGAAGAGTTTTGTGAAAATCACTTGCAGTTGTTGTTCACGATTCTCCAGGATTCTCCGCAGCCTTCTGTGCGAGGTGATGTGATTATTGCGCTGGGAGATCTCTCGTTTCGATTCCCCTAACTTGGTGGAGCCTTGGACATCTCACTTGTACAATCGGCTTCGTGATGTTCACCTCGACGTGCGCAAAAACACAATTGTTGTCCTTTCTCACCTGATTCTAAACGACATGATCAAGGTAAAGGGCCAGATTAGCGAAATTGCCAACTCATTGGTAGACGAAAATGACGGCATTCGCAACCTTGCCAAGCTATTCTTCTACGAGCTATCGAAAAAAGGTAACAATCCTATTTACAACATGCTGCCGGATGCAATTGGCCAACTGTCTACGAGGTGAGAGGGTCATAATCATTCTCGGTGCGTGGCGACTTTCCATGTCTGACTAACGCGCTGTGATTTGTTGTAGCAAGCTTGTTTCCAATTCCGACTTCCAGGCAATCACGCGATTTCTCATGCAGTTCATTACAAAGGAAAAGCAAATCGAGAGTATCGTTGAGAAGCTGACTCAGCGTTTTCTGACGGCCTCTAAGGCACAACAGCAGCGGGACTTGGCGTATTGTTTGGCGCGTCTATCACACACGGAGAAATCGCTCAAATACCTGTACCAGAATCGCAAGCTGTACAGCGATGCACTACATGATAGCGTGGTTGCTGACAACTTTATGTCGCTGGTCGCGAAGGCTCGTCGGGGCAATAGTACGCTGATAACGACGAGTGAGATGAAGGAAGCCATTGATGTGCTGGACCAGTTTGTGGTTGGTAAAAAGGAAGGCAAGGAAGAGGTAAGTGTTGTGTTTACCGTGTTATCGAAATGATAGCGGGATCACATTCATAACTAAGGTACTTACTTACTCACTAGGATGATGAACCCATGGACGGTGAATCAAGGGAGCATGTTTCATCGCCGCAAGCTAAGAGCAGGGCCAAGCGCAAACCCCCCACCAAAGGTGCGAAGGCTTCTCGAGTTATTCCGAAGAAGAGAGGACGAGCTAAACGAAAAGCAAGCGCTCGCAGTAAAAAAGCTACCCGTGTGGTGAGCGATGGCTCTTCAGACGAAGAGTAAGAAGAAGTACGTAAACCAAACGCAGTGGAAACGAACGAATAAAAAACGGACCACGTGTTTGTCAGATGAGTTGAGCGTATCGTCTTAACTCTGGTATCATCAACACAAAATGAAATGTCCTTTCCTGCATCATAAATCGCTCATTGTTTGCCGTGTTCGCAATAGATAATCGTTAGCCTGAAAGTGGGTGCCGGTCAACCGTCATCAAGCTTGTACAGGCAGTCAGCACGCGCAAAACTTCATCAGGATCATCCAGGTAATACTGTGCGCGACTAACTTTCATGCCTACCGTGCACGTGTAACAGTTGCTGCCCTGAACGACATCAAACATATTCTCGTCCGTGCGCTCGTCGCCAAGCGCAAGAATGAAATCAAAGTCAAGTGCTGTGAAGTACGGTGTCTCACTTTCGTACTCCAGGATACGGCTTACAGCTCGGCCTTTGTTTACGCGCCACGGCCGAATCGTCACATACTTCTTGATTCGACACATCACCACGCCAACTGGCATATCACGCAGCATTTGATCGAAATGAAGCTGCATGTCATTTGCCTGCTTCAGACCGAACGTGGGGTCGGCGTCCCGAAAGTGCCATGTGTAGCAGCAATCCTTTACATCTAGCAATGAGCCGGGGGTCCGCTCTGTAAAGTGTTCCAAGATACTTTCCACTTCATCGCGCCACTCCAACTCAACGTCACTGAACATACACTGCCAGGGAGCTCTTTCAAAGACTGCAATTTCGTTTGCACCCATGACCGATGAAGACGAACTGGCCAGCGGATCATTTTCTGAGGTAAGCACAATAGAAAGTGATTCTGCCGCACGTGGTGATTCTTCGCTACTCATATCTGCAAGATCGCTCTTCTTCACCGTAATACTACCATTTCCGTCCACATCGAGCGTAGATGAATGCTTGGAAGCCGGACGAAACCAATAGCCATGCTCAGCAGCCAGTCCAACACGCGGCAAATGACCAAACCATTCCTATGAAAAGAAAACACAAGTGTTAGAATAAGGCACGACCACGCAATACATTGCAATACTATACAGCTTCGCGACAAGAGCACATCTTACCTGCAAACGATTTTTGTTCCTTCCGCTAATGATGTAGACCGTGTTGCTTGGATCGGATGTAAGGTCTTCGAGACAAGAGAGCAGAGCCGAAGAAGGCTCCGCCAGTTCCTCCATACTCTGGTAATTTACAAGCGTACCATCATAATCCAGCAAAAACAGGCGTCGTTGACTTCGTTCGTAATAGCCAAGCAATTGTGCGGTGTCTAGCTTGTCAAGACGGTTATATTCTTGTGCGGTTGCAGCTGCCTGTACCATGTCCAATACGCTTTAGTTAAACCTAACGCTTAGCCAGATGCAATACAACCGGCGCACCTCGTTCAAAGCCGACATAATTCGTTGAGCCCATAAAGTCGACGTATACGTGTTTACATAGCGCGATAATTGGTGATGCCGAATACGTTTTGTTGTCGTGCTCATTCGAAGCGCTGTATCCACGCTTGCCGCGACTTGTTCGATGTGCATCGGGTTCACCAACAGCGCACCTTGGAAAGACGACGCACACCTAATTGACAATGCCATCCAAAGAACCCATGTTACCACAACAAAACTCATCAATTACGATCATATCCAAGACAAGGAACGCACCCTGCAAATTCACTGTAGACAAGCACTCCATGGCAATTTTTCTTCTGGGCAGCGATGAATTCCATCGCCTGCAAATTGATTCCTTCCTTAATGCTGCTCACAATAGCTACGTCAGCGCAGTTATACAGCGCCACGAGCTGGTCGTGATCGATCGATTGCTTTAAAAATCGCACAGGGCAGTACTCAGCTGTTCCAAACTGGCCGTTCACACGCCCAACAAGTTCATTAATCTGACGACTAAGCATTCGGTACTGTAATGATGCTGTGCGTCCGGCGTCACGAACAATAGCATACAGCACGACTTTTCCACGGTACTCTGGGTAGTACTGTAGCAGGTATTCCATCGCCTCGAGCATCTCGGGGATGCCTTTGCAGAAGTCGAGTTTGTGCACACCCACAATGATCTTGAGGCCGTCTTGCTGGCGCTTAAGTATCTCAACCTGCGCCTCCACCTTTGGTGTCAGTGCATACTTGACAGGATCGATACCCATGGGGCAAATACCGAGCGAGACGAGGCGTCCATTGTACTCAACGCGACTGGGCGACGACTCAAGTCCGAGCATTCGCGTGCACACGTTAAGAAAGTGGCGCACGTAGTCAAAGTGATTAAAAACAACCAAATCAGCACCTAATACACCATGGAGCAACGCCTCACGTACTGGCAGCATTTGAAAGAACTCCGACGACGGAAAGGGACAATGAAAATAAAAACCACACGTTACGTCAGAAAAGCGACGACGGAGTAATCCCGGAAGTGTCATGAGTTGATAATCACATACAAGTACGAGGTCTCCATCCTTATAAATTTCAGACACAACCTCTAGGAATTTTTGGTTAGCTGAGCAATACGCATCATACTTATCTCCAAAATTCTCAAGCAATCGACTATCGGATTGTTGTGGTAAGGAATGAAATAATGGCCATAGCACGACATTACAAAATTGATTATGATATAAATCCAATGTTTCATGAGGAAGAAAAACTGGATGACATTGATATTCCACCAAACGTCGACGTACACCATCTTGACTTGATTCATCTACTGTCGCTCCTGGCCATGAAACCCATCGTACTGTATTACCAGTACTTAAATAATCAATTGCACTTTTCAGTCCACTTGATGATGTTTCATATTGCCATCCATCACCTTGATCAGTCTTAAACATACGTATACAATGATGTAAAGAACAGACAATAATCTTATTCGTATCATGAGCCATGGGAATCGGTCCGAAATTACGTGCTAAGGAATTATAACGTTGTGAATTTTGACGCACAAGTGCCAAACGTCGATGTAAATCATGAAGTTGGTCTAATAATGAACTTTCACCTAATTCACTTAGACTTGAAGGCATGACCATATCAGAAGATTCGAGCATTGAGTTACGTATGGATTAATTCGTCGTCGTCTTTCTCTCTCTCTCTTCTTTGCCTTTTAGATCGAAATGGAAAATAACGTTAGTGAGGAAAATTGATACGAACGAGATACTTCTTCTTCTTCCTCTGCTTCTTTCTTACCCCCCTTTTTCTACGAATAATGACAACAAGTGACTTGAATGTACGAGTTTAATGTATTCGAATCAGTAACTATCGACTTTTCCCAAGAGAAAATCACGATCTTTGGCACTAGTATCATCGCGTTCTCTGGCAGCATTGAATGGTAAAGTATTACTCACTACCGCGCTAAGGCCGTACTCGTCCATGCCAATCCCTTCCATTGTGTTGTTAAAGAGTTGTGCCAAGAGCTCAAATGGCTCAAATACCATTCAAACATGATACAATAATACCATTTGAGCATCTCGTTTGAAGACGCTCTTGATTGTCTTGATACGACTACTTTACTTGTCTTGTATTTTGTGGAGTAAGCGGCATTGATAGCACATAAAACACTTGCAAGGACTTGACACAATGAGTCGAATGAACAGCTCTTTATCAATACCCACTTTCCTTGGCTAGCTTTGTAAAGAGCTTCAGCATCCGTAGCAGCCTTTGCATTCGTGTGCACCATAGGATCCAGCTCGGTTATATTATCCTGTACGGCAGTCATGACTATCCTTTTCGAATCACCACTAAGCTTTTTCGCAGCGTGCTCACGAGATCATGATCACGATATGTCTTCTTCAGTATTGCAATCTCAGCATTTGAGTGAGCCATCACAATCGGGTAAATCCACTCCTCTGTTGTAGTCAAGCCTTTCATCGCCTTGTGCAGAATCCTGGCTTTCACTTGCTCCAAAGGACTTGCGAGCATCTTCAGCAAAACGCCATAGTCGCTCGTGCTCTTTATCTACACCGTCAAGCTCTGCTTGTACAGGGTCCGGTGGCGCTGTTCTACAGTCTTTGGCAGCAGTCAAGATGCCAGCAGCTTCAGCTTCAGAAGCCACACCAGTCCACACACGCTGGATCTCCTGCACAGCCGCATCGATATCGGCCAAGAATGTCGTTGAATCGATTTTACTGCTCTCGCCTGCATAGATTTTACTGCTCTCGCCTGCATAACGTGCGTACAAACTGCTCATTACTGCATTGCCGGCGACCGCCAGTTCGGTAGACATCTCATCGTCACTCGCGAAAGACATTGCTGTCTTCGAGCAAGGTAGCGCGCTATGAGCTGCACTGGCAGTTTTAGTCGACATTGTGTTTGATGTTTGTTGCGAGTCGACTTGGTGGTTTCATCCATTCACTCGTTTTTGCGTAATGGGGTTAGTTTTGTGCCTGTGAAGCACAGTGTTGTCTACAAAGTCTACTGACGCAGATAAGCTCAGGGTACGGCGGCTGTCTTTGTCTTTGTTTGCGTGATCAATAACAATGACAAGGTATTGAGCATGTTAACCACTGTCGTTATCACTGAGACCAAGCAAGAACTCAAGCGATACCGCCAGGGTAAACTCAGTTTTCTTGGATGATGAGACAAGATACTTCACCGAGACGTAAAAAACTGCTTCACGTTCTCCGCTATCAGCACATTTTCACAGCCATCTGAAAGCTTATTTTGGTGATTCCTTCAGCAGGTTTGAATTTGCTGCCTACAGGTACTTTCGTATCCTTACTAGACAGTTCATTGATCACCAAGATGTGCTTGTGTTGTACAAACAGAGCACCAAACTGGTGGACTGCAAGCTCCGGCAAGTGGGCTGAAAGACATTCCACACCGCCTGCTTTTCATCAAGTGAACCCATCGTACAGATTTTCACTGAGGCTGACAAAATTCTTCGAACAGAAGCCGCAACAAACTTGCGCACTTCTCCTAAACCACGTTTAGTAACATCCACACCCCGCTTCTCACAAAAGGTCACAAAACCTGACAGCCACTTTCATCCAAACGAAGCCTTTTAAACCTTGCGTAGCGTCGACTTGTTATTCCTCCCACCAGCAAAACCAAAAACAACAAGAGTATTTTCGTCTTGCAATTCTACATCACCGCACTGACACGTCGATGTATTGAGCCCCGTGTAACATTCGCGTCCTTGCACGTCCAATCGGCATCTGCAAACGTAGTTGGAGCGGGTGGCACTCATAGAGCCGAGGCACCACTCGCGATGGTAGCCGTCGAGGACCTTTGTCACACAGCTCAAGTTCCTATTGCCGCAACCGACATCCTTTAGCGCCACGGTCTTCTCATTGCTCTTTTGAGTGGCAACGCCTGTACTTTTCCCGGGTGCGGCGACCGTGGCCTCCTCTGTCGTTTATCTAGCAGATTTATTGGTTCGAAAGGAGCCTGGAGGCAATGCCATGGAGCGCTCGCCGCCCGGATCCAGCATCTTAGTCAAATACTAGTTAAGCTAGCCAATGAAACGCCGGACGTTGTCATGAGACTGCTCTCTTCCACCTCCGTTCCTCGCGCGTCTTCATCGCCACCGTGGTGCTCTTCTCGCCAGAAATTGTCTTCGTCTTCGTCGTCATCACAACATCGATTGTCTTCACCAGCTCCTCGCTGGCACCCGTCCAAGTGCGTGTCGTCTTCTTCACCATCTTGTCACGATGGTGCCGCCGGCTTCCTGCACTGAGTTCCTCAGTCTGCAACCGACTTCCCTACTAAAAGTGCGAAGACTTCTCAAGTTATTCCAAAGAAGAGAGGACGATCTAAACGAAAGGCAAGCGCTCGCAGTAACAAAGTTACCCGTGTGGTGAGCAAAGGCTTTTCAGACCAACGGACTACGCGTTCGTCAGATACGATACGCTTATTTGCAGTCGTGTTTGCAATCGATAATCGTTAGCCTGAAAGTGGATGCCGTTCAAGCGTCAGCAAAAGCTTGTGCAAATCCATCTTTTTAACCTATGTGTCCATGACCTTTGGATTCGACTCGAGTGGAAACCAAGCGCTTGGGTCTGCTCAAATTGACGCTCATAGTTGCGATAGAAGGTAAAACTTTGATAACCGTGATATTGACGTGACATCCATCGGCTAGTACAAAGTTGAGCAATCCTGGCTACATTTCTAACAACTCATAAATAACGGTCAAATCTGTGCAAGACAAGATTTATTTGAGTGACAACAAAGCAGTCCATGATGTATGCGCGCGTATGATGTATTTCATTTGTTCAGCTATCAGCTGACCCGACGTTCCTGGCACGCAAGGAAGCAGAGAAGATGACAAGCAGCAATAGACAGTCTAGAATTGCCTGAATTGACTAGGGTCAGGAGGTCTGCAACATCAGCGCGAACAACAAACCTACCGTTATCAGCTGAAAGAAATCAGGCAGCAATGACTGCGATAAATTACGCCAGGAAGCCTTGATTCCGTCCTGGTTACGACTGTTGCCATCAGGTCATGAACTGTTACCCACGAGTGGCTACAGCTGAAAAGAAGAAAAAAGTTGACAGCAACGACGATAGGCTACTTTTCACAAAGCTTTGCATAATTGACTGCTTTACATACTTCTTAGTAGACCTTTGTAACATCCGAATGCGTCACGCTGTCGTTTTTGTTACTGCCGTCTTGACTGTACTCTTCGGCTACGATAGCATGTAGTTTTCGGGTTTCTTCTTCCGACATCTGAGGTTCGTCATCGTATCAATATGGATTAAACTGAGCTGTCGAGGATGCAAACACTTGACAGCCGGATAATTACCTTATAGGGGGAAAATGTCTCGCTCGAGAAACGGCCGTTCTCCACGTCATCGCGATAATTCTCAAGACCAATTCGGATATGTTCGCCAACGTCAGCGTACCGCTTGCAGAACTTGGGAACAAACTGCGCGTGGTGAGGGTGCTGGAGCATGCCCAACAGATCGTGGAAAACTAGCACTTGGCCATTCGTCTCGGGCCCAGCGCCAATGCCGATGGTCGGGATCGTGAGCATCTCCGTTATTGCCTTGGAAACGGGCGATGGGATGCACTCAAGCACAACGGCAAATGCACCTGCCTTTTGCACGGCCAAAGCGTCCTCGATAATCGTTCGTGCTTGCGATGCTGCGAAAGGCAATGATCAAATGTAAATCGATTACTTTGGAAATGCACTTACAGCAGCACGAGTTCCGAGTGTTGGTAAGTATTACCCGTACGGCCTTGAGCGCGGAATCCTCCGAGGACGCTGATGTGCTGAGGACGAAGACCGATGTGACCCATCACAGCAATGCCTCCATCAACAATAGTCTTGACTGTACCGTAAACAATCTCGTAAGCACGCCAGCAGCATTGCTACTCACAAGGCCAAAAGACATCCCTACTCGTTTCGACCCGCTCCTTGCCCCCCTCGATCTTCACACAGTCAGCACCTCCTTCCTTTCATATTGTGCACACACAATGAATCACTCGCGTCACTCCCATCACTCTTTTAAACATGTTGAGTGCTATCAATAAGATGTCATGATACCTTCATAAGACATTGAGCATTCTTCAGTGCTTCAAATGGCGCTCCTTCACACGTTCCAAACGGCATATCCGTGACCACTAATGGTCGATTGGCTCCACTAAACATTACACCATTTTGGCAACCATGTTATAACATAGTCAAAAGCACTTAAAAAGATTCAGAGAAAATTACACCAACAGACCGTTTCACTGCCTGAGTGTGATGAATCATATCCTGCAACGTCACAGGAATAGTTGTGTCCATGCCCTGTATCATTAGAAAATGAAGTAGCAGTAGCAGTAAGACGAACCGCCTTCATAATTCAGTAAGAGTACATCAAAACACTGTTGTCCCTTGAGCTTTTGAGCTCTAGATGAATTCCCGTACCAGTTCCACCATTCCAAGCGAGTCACCAACTAAAAGAACGTCAAAACCTGCTAAATCCACGTGTACAGCAGATGGATAATCATAGGCTGTAACCATTGTAATGGGTTTTTTCTTGCGCTTGAAAATGCCCATATCAAGTGTTGTAACTTTACGACGTTCCAATAGCTTAAGAGTACGAGCAATTGACTTGCTATTGTAACAGGAAGAAGAAGAAGAGGAAGAGGAGGAGGAGAAGTTACTGATACAGGTCTTTGTTGTAGGTGAGACAACAAGACGATTGCAACGTAGAGAAGCGGAGCGGTGGCATGTGATGGATACAGAGCGCATCATTCGGAAGATACTTTTGAAAGACGTGATGTTACGACTCTCCGCATAAATACGAGGTAAAAATAAGGTGATTCATACTATTTGTTCACAGGTAAATAAGGGTTACGTGAAAGAATATGATTTGTGTACCCATTCATTGAATTACTATATATATAACTTGATAAAGTGTACAATTATGACGGAGCTTAAGGATCAAGTGGAGGCAGAGATGACTCGATACCGAGCGCTCCAGGATGAAGTGCAAGTGCTAGCAACGCAGCGACAGAAATACGCACAACAGTCCAATGAGAATGAAATGGTAAAGAAGGAACTAGAATTGCTGAATAATGAAGACAAGGTGTACAAACTCGTAGGCCCCGTCTTGCTCAAACAGGACGTCAATGAGGCCAAAAGTAACGTTAACAAACGTCTTGAGTTTATTACGAACGAGTTGTAAGTGAAGTAAGGATAAAGTATCAACACAGTGATTGAATAAGAATAAAGTAACATGAAGATTATTGCTGGGATTCATAGGGACAAAGTAAACACGAAGATTGAAGCCAAGGAGAAAGAGGCCGTTGGTATTCGTACGAATGTATGTGAAGAATGTTGATGAGCTTGCTCGGATGAATTCCAGTATGAAAAGGTTGCACTAACTTGTTGTAATTCTTTTGATATTTTTTCATGACCAGATCTCAAATATGCAGATGGAGATGCAAAAACGTGCTGTAGAAGCTGCCAAGGGCGCCGTTGCGGCTCACTAGGGCTCAGTCGCCATGGCAATTTGCTGTACATGGGACAGACAATGAAGTGCTTTTTTGCTACATTTATTGTTATGTCAATTTGACTGTCGTCTCTTCTTCTTTTTGTGTTGATTATCTAAGACTTCAGTGCCTTGAGTAAGTATGGTCTTGAACCGAGCAGCTCCGGCTTCACAAGCTCTGCGACCTCTTGCAAAGTTGTGCGTGCCACGGGAGTAGCGTGGAGGGTGTGACGGCCAGCTTCGTGGACGCGCACCAACACATAGTCACCAGGAGCAGCGTAAACACCCTCTGATGTGACACTAGATAGAGGAAAAAAACTCGGAAGCTAGCTCACCCGCCTCCTTGGTGAAGGCACGCAACGAACCCGGCATTTTCTGGTTAGGAAATACGCAGCGCTTGCTCGTGTCTGTGAGACCCGTGAGCTTTGGGTTTTCATCTGTTGAGCGGCGACTGGCGCCTTGCACAAGTACGACGTGCAGCCGGTCCGAGTCCTCAATGTAATTTTTGCGCGTGACCACCTCGCTGAATGTGTCAATGATCTCGCGTAAACGCCGCAACTTGTCTTCTTGAGAAACATCATCTTGCATGCGATGTGCCGCATGAGTTCGAGCACGAACCGAGTACGCAAACATGAACGCTTGGTCATAGGACACTTGGCGAATCAATGAGATTGTGTCGGCGTGCTCTTCCTCAGTCTCACCACAGAAGCCAGCAATGAAGTCGGAAGAAATGGCTACGCCAGGAATACGAGTACGCATGTTGTCAACAAGTGCTAGATAGGCCTCACGAGAGTATCCACGACGCATGCGTTCCAGCAGCGTGGTACTGCCGCTCTGAGCCGGCATGTGGATCTGCTTACAGATGTTGAAGCGTTCATTCACGAGATCTAGCACTTCATTCGGAAAATCCTTTGGGTGGGGAGACGTAAAACGGAATCGCATCTCAGGGTCAACACGCGAAACTTCGTCCAACAAATCAGCAAAGCGGTAGCCTAATGCGTCACGCAAGTGGAACATGTTGCTGAACCCGGCGGACGATACGTAGCCCCTTCCCTTGTCCGCAGCACCCTCGGATTTCTTGTCGTGGTACGAGTTGACGTTCTGTCCAAGTAGCACAACCTCCTTTACACCCTGGTCGCTTAACGTACGTACCTCATCAATAATGGAACTCATGATACGGCTACGCTCGCGTCCGCGCGTGAATGGCACGATGCAGTATGAGCACATATTGTTGCATCCACGCATAATCGATACAAATGCTGACGGGCTATGTGGGTCCGCACGCACAGGGGCAATATCTGCGTAGGTCTCGTCCAGCGATAGCTGTACGTTGACTGCTGCCTCACCGCTGCCATGTACCACATGCAGCAGGTTGGGGATATCACGGTAGGCATCTGGGCCCACAACCAAGTCTACCATCTTGTCAGACTCGAGAAGCTTCGTCTTGAGTCTCTCGGCCATGCAGCCCAGCACGCCTACAGTCTGTACCTCTTTTTGTTTCTTGCGCAAAAGCTTAGCCTTGACTTGACGAAGGGACTCGAGACGGTGCCATATTTTAGCTTCTGCATTATCCCGCACAGCGCACGTATTAATAAGCACCACATCGGCTGTGTCTGCTGCAAGCGCCGGTATGAAGCCATTGTCTAGTAGAATGGCTCGTACAATTTCCGAGTCGGATGAATTCATTTGGCAGCCATACGTTTCAATAAAGAAAGAGCGACGTCGTGTCTGTTTCTCGTCTAGATCCTCTAACAACTGCAAGTTGTGAGGAGCTACAGGGAAATTCATCTCACTTGACTCTTGTGTCATGTGCTGCATGTCATTTGTCTGCGATTTGTGGAGGAAATCACCAATATGTAGACCATCATTCGGTAATTGTCGACTCCTTTGTACTATTAATCTTGATTGCGTATGGACATTAGTACTTGTAATAGACTTATAGCGTACAGTCTTCGCTAGAGCAGCACATACGATGGCGCTATATCGACTGGACGTCAACATATTGCGTTTGAATTATCATATTTAGGGTACTTATTACGATATTTACAATATGAATCACAATTATTGTTGAGCAATTTACAATTTTGTGGTCTTTGGTAGAATTTCACCTTATGACTTGGTATGATGATGACCAGAGCTTGGAACTGTTCGTACTGTACGTTCAAGAACGAAGCATCTATGCATCAATGCACCATGTGTCTCAGTGCTCGAGATAGTTCAATATCGTCTCTTGTATCTCCAAGAGTTTCATCTCCAATGGCAGTTTCTGGACGTAGTATGAAGAAGTCAAAAGTGACGATGTTACAGTCGCAGTCCTTACTCTTTAGTGTCGGTAGTTCAGTGGAAAAGGAACAGCAACGTATACAGAAGAAGTTAGAGCAACTTAAGGAACTGGGAATTGAACTAACGGATGAGGAGACAATGGCGTTATTACAACGTAATTGTTTTAGTGTATCAGGGGCGGCGTCCGAGTACTTTGAACGATTGGCACAGCAAAATGTAGTTATTACAGCTCAGTCAAACGAGAAGAAAGAGGATCGAATAAAGCAGATGCTATTGAAACTAGAGAGTATTGAATATCCAAACTACCACGTATTGGGCAAGATGACTATGCAAGGCACGGTGAACCGTGAGGGTGTTCAGTTTAAAGCGGGTGAGGAACTGCTGTTACAAGCAGAGAACGCTGGAAAGAAAAGGATGAGGCCAGGAGTATTGTCTAATGACACGGTTTCTGGCATGGTGAGAATTGCTACCATGCAGCACTTGCAGATTGGACGACTTGAAAGGAGAATGGAGCTGCTGCTTCATCCGTTAATGAAGAAAGGGCTTGTAAAGCTTATAGGAGTGTGTGAAATGCCGCCAGTGTCGTCACATATGTTTGCGTCCTTTGAGGTAGGTTTTTTGTTGAGCTTGGTAAGAAATGTTCCTGTGCTGACCCTCTCTTCATGATGCTGTCCCTGTAGTTAACGGTCTTCGTCTATGTCAGTCTGAAGGCATTTGATGTGTTCAAAGAGGGTGACGAGAACTTTTGTCTCTCCGATCAACTCTATAACTTGTTGCAGATGGTCCATGGAGCTGAAGCGTCTTTGTTGGGTGCGTCAGCTGTACGACCAGCTTCCGAGGCGGCAGATCTGTCATCACAGGTGAACCCGGAAGACCTTGATAGTCTGTTCTCAGAGTGCGTTGGGGCAACCAATCTCCACAACTCGATTGATGACGTGAATGAAGATCCGTCGGAGCACCTTTTACCGTATCTGAATGCTATAAAGCTACGAGATCACCAGAAGCAAGCATTGAGATGGATGTTGTGGCGAGAAAACCAATCACGGGATGGTACCGGTGAGCAAGAGAGTAACAATTCTGTAAGTATCGTCTAAATGTGATAGCCTATGCATAACCACCGGCTAATTTGACTCATCATTTTTCAGATATGGGAGGAGCGTCAGTTTCGATCCAAGCGCTCGTACTACGTTAACCCCTTTGAAAAAAGTGCGTCGCTGGCTCGGCCAAAACCTCTAGCGCCCTGTCTTGGTGGAATCTTGGCTGACGACATGGGAATGGGTACGTTCTGTTTTGGTGACTGCATGTTGTCGACGCGGCAAACGTACACGTCTAATATTCGTGTATGTAGGCAAAACGATGATGATGCTATCCCTGATTGCCTACCAAAAGCACGTCGGCGAAGAGACCTTGGACAAAGTCACCTATTCGAAACGGGCAAAAGGGAAGGAAACAGGCAAGACTCTCGTGGTTTGTCCGTTAAGTTTGCTTCACCAGTGGAAGAATGAAGCATTGGAACGTTTTCTTCCGAACACCCTAAGCATTTACGTATACTACGGCGAAGATCGTAGCTCATATATTAAGCTTGACACGTCATCTTTCAGCAAGAGTGATATAGTTCTCACCACCTTTGGAGTGTTATCAGCCGAGTTTGGAAAGAGCGGTCTTGTTACGACGACCGAATGGAATCGTGTCATTCTTGACGAAGCTCACAGTATTAAGAACAAGGCCACAGGCTACTTCAAGACGTGTTCTGCTTTGAAAGCTACGCATCGATGGTGTCTGACAGGTACTCCTATCCAGAATGCTCTAGATGACGTATTTTCGCTGCTTTGCTTCCTCGAGTACCATCCCTGGTGTCGAGTGGCTTGGTGGAAAAGAGTGATTACAAAACCGTACGAAGACGGCGACGATGTAAGCACGCTTGGGCGCTTAAAAGCGATACTAACGCCAATTCTGCTTCGTCGCACCAAGCATTCGCGAGATAAGCAGGGCAATATGATTTTACAACTTCCACCAAAGCATATTGACTTGGTCAAACTAGAGTTTTCCCCTGATGAGCGGGCCTTCTATCAGGCAGTATACGATAAAAGCCGAGCAGAATTTAACGGGTTTGTTGCGAGCGGCGCAGCTAAGGCGAATTACATTGCCATTCTCGCGCTGTTACTTCGTCTCCGTCAAGCCTGCGACCACCCTTTGCTTGCGCTTGGAAAAAATTTCGAGCAGGCGTTGAAATCTGACGACAAAAACGCAGCAGCCCATGCCGGATTTGCTTTCCAACTTCAACAGAATGAGAGCTCCGAAGCATACTACCAGCGCATTGCCGCACAACTACAGAGAGATATGCAGGTCAGCAGCAATTGCAAGCAGCAACTTGAAAACGGAATTGATGTCTCGGACGGCAAAGCAGGTAAGTCGACAATGGGACTAACAGCCTCCTATATTCAGAGCGTCATAGCACAAGTCGAAGACGACTTGGAATCTCAAGAGTGTCCAATCTGCTTGGACCCGCCTAGCGATGCAGTGATGACACCGTGCGCGCATGTATTGTGCGCCCAGTGTCTTCGAGAGAGTCTCTCCAACGACCCCGAGAATGGCTGTCCCGTGTGCCGATCTGTGGTCGACGTAGCTAGAGTTTTCAAGCTTCCGTCTCCTCCTGCTCTAATGACACAGCACAACAATTGCAAAGCAGACGCCAGGGTGGACGAAATACCCAAACCTGCTTCGACATCTATGGTTGGCCATGAGAACGACAGCACGGGCTTTGAGTCTGCCAAGCTTCAGCAGCTGCTCCGTGATCTGAATGCTATCAGACTGGAAAACAATCATACGGAGTCATTTAAACAAAAGCGCAAGGTGGTGGTCTTTTCACAATGGACGTCAATGCTGGACATGGTTTCTCAATTACTCTCGCGTCATGGTTTCTCATACTGCACGTTTCATGGTAGACTAAATCAAGACGCACGTGAGCGCGTGTTGACTAAGTTTGCCAAGGATCCGTATATGGAAGTTCTCGTCATAAGTTTAAAAGCCGGTGGTGTAGGTCTTAATCTCACCTGTGCATCCGTCGTGATTCTTCTTGATCCATGGTGGAATCCGGGAGTGGAAGAACAGGCTATTGACCGAGTTCATCGTTTAGGCCAAACTCAGGATGTCATGGTAAAGCGATATGTTATCCGTGATACAGTCGAAGAGATAATTTTGAAGCTTCAACAACGCAAGGAAAATTTGGCTAAAAATGTGCTTGCTATTGCAAAAGCTCATGATGAGCATTCGACTGGATGTCTTCAACTTGACGATTTATATCGCTTTTTCCGCTAACGTCAGGGTAGTGAGTGACATGGCTACATTTGTTGTAAACAATTGATAGACATCATTGAAGTACAATATTCATTATAAGAGGTGGTCAAAGTATTTGACGAAAGTTCCTAAACTTGACTGAAATTGACTAAAAGTTGACCGGGCAGGACTATTTCGTGCCTTATTTTTAACGTCTGTCGATCAAAAGCTCTTGATCTAAATATAGAGAGAGCTTATAAATGTTAACACGATCACGCTCCAAGGCGTTAAATCAACCGGTTTTTATTGATGAAAAGTGGAATGATGCTTATATTCAGACAAAGGATGAAGAAATTGATGCAATGCTAGCAAGTAATGGGTCATATAATGGTTGGGGTGAATTTGACGACGAAACTTTCAGTGTCAGCGAGGAAGATGATGCTGATGACGTGTGGTATTCTGATTCCGACGAATCAGAAGAGAAGGAAGAGGATTGGTTGAATCAACCGGATAAAAGTTACTTGAAATGGACGTTTTTTGAACATTATATGACAGGTGGGAGTTTATTCCAGAATCTAGTATGGACACTAGCAGCAATGGGAGTAACACCTTTGTTACTTTATATCTCCTTACCTCATTGTCCTGATGTTATGTGGCCACTCCAAAGTCCACGATTGATTGGCATGGTGTCAAAAATTGTATTGAATTTACTGACATTCACAGTGGGAGGAGTGATGATATACATGACGTCGTGTAGTGTAGAGCCATTGACATTAAGTTCTGTAATGTATTGGAGACAATTACATGTTGAAAACCCAGGAGAATGCAGAGAAAGACTGTTGCATGAAGGAAAGACTCTTGGAATAAGGATCATGGAGATATTGGCGAGTGGATTACGTTCAGATACGACTTTTCAACGCTTCAATGACGACATGTGGACATTTGTAGCAAGCTTGGATGCGTTAATGGTGCGAAAATTTGTGGCATTGGTCGCTTTAAGTCTTGTCACAGTAACTTGTTTCCATCGCGTTTGGGCCAAAATACTCGTGCTTTTGACGGTAGTAGGTTGCGTGTTGTTCTATGTAGTGACTGAAGTGAAGATGCAACATCAATCAGCCGTTGAGATTTATTCTCTAGATCCCACTTTTGCTTTTGCCAACGAAAGTATCTTTGTAAGTTTGACTGGATACGATGGCACTGTTTGTTTACTGACCTATTGATCCCATCTAGCGAGCGCTAACTGATGTTGTTCGTTTGCCGTATGAAACAGGTTGCAATTGACGGACAAAATCTGGAGGAAGGTGGATCCATGGCGTGGGTGCCCTACTGGGGAGGAGCGCATCAGAAGCCGGCAAGAGCTTGTCCAAAACACTATCCGCAGCAGCTAAACAACGGTGGCGTACTCGTGACGTTTGATCACGTTAATGAGTATATTCCGTGCTATCTCAGCGCCAAGGAAACTGCTTCTGCAATTATTGTTGACGGCGAGATTGAGCCTTCTGAAGCGTTCCAATGTTTTGAGAGCATCCGGTTGCGTGTGAAGGACCCGAAAAGTGTGCCGGGTTGGTCACTCCATCAGCACAACCAGGAGGAAGACCCGCTTTTTCCAATCGAGAAGCAAGATCTGTGAGTATGTTTCATGCAACCGGCGATGTCTTGACCCTAGTTGTCCATAGCTTTTGTATGAACAACTGGCAATAACCGCTTGCGCTTCCATCTCGTCCAATTTAAAGACTTATGGAGAAGTAGTGTACCAAAAAACAGCTCGACTTCCCAAATGCTCAGCGTTTTGATGCACTGCCCAGATACCGAGAAGCTACATACACGTGTTTTGTGCGCTGGGCTTTCCCCTTTTGAGGTGTTGTTTTGAACGCAGGTGTGTCTGTTTCGCTTGGCTGAAGCTTCCGCTTCACCATCGGTGCTACATCCCCGTCCTCTCCCGGTCTATTTTCCTTACCGGCGCTCTTCTCTGAAGAGCTGCTGCTACCATGGCCAGCTGGCTGGACTGGTAATGAAGCAATCGAAGCAACACTTTTTGCCTTTCGTGTTGCCATGCGCTCCATAGCTAGCTTTGCCTTTTCATACTCGTTGCGGAGTTTTACATGCTTTGTCTCCAGTTGCTTCAGTGAACCGAGCTGCCGTTTTGCTGTTCCAAGTTGTATCTTCATTTGCTCTACTGTTGATGTGAGGACGTCGCGCTTGTTAATTTCCTGCACAACGAGCGCCTTGAGCAGAGCTGGCTTAATGCTTTGCAGCTGCTCTACTGTTGTGCAATCACCGTTCTGTTTCTGCAGTAGCTGCGCCAACTCGACGTGCAACGCTTGCACACAGATCAGCTCCTGCTTGTAATGCTCAATTTCTTGCTGCAAGCTTTTCTCTCGACAGCTCCACGTTTCTTCCTGCGCTTGTAGCATTTCCTGAGACTCCATCATCAATCGCTGCTGCATTTCCTCCGCTGCCTTCTTTTTCTTACTCAACTCCACTTCCATCATTTTCTGCATTTGAACGAGTTCCTCTTCCAACGTACGCATATTCTTTTTTTTCTCCGCTAGCACGTCATCTCGCTCCTCCAGCTCCTTCCTCATGCTGTCATTCTCCGTCTCTAGCTGAATCGCTTTCTGCGTACTTTCCACTGCCACCCCCTTTGCCGACTCTAAATGTACACGAAGCGCTGCACATTCTTCCGTCAATTTGATAAGTCTTTGCTTCGTTGCAACCTCTGCTGCTTTCGTATCACGAAGCTCTGCTTGTATTTTGATCGCTTCTTCTTGTCTCGCAAAAAATTCTCCTCTCACTGCTGCTGCCTCTTCTCGATTTTGTTGTAACTGCTCCTGTAATTTTCGTACATCTTCTCGTGTTGCTCCTTCCTGTTGCTTCATTTGCGTATCAAATTTTTGTCGTGTAATCTCAAGCTGCACTCTCAACTCCTGAATCTCTTTCTCTCGCTGCTTCATTTCCTCCTTCTCCTTCTCTCTCACTTTCTCAATTTCTTCCTTCTCCTGTCTCAACTCCTCCACTCGAGTATTTAATATCATTTCACGATCAATTCCAGCTTTTACTTCATTTTGTAGCGCATTATTCCGTCGCTTCTCGTCGTTCAGCTCTTGCTCCATGACACCTCGTGCTTCTTGTACTGCTACAATCTCTTTTCTACTACTATTCCATGCTTCATCTAATCGTATCATTCCACGCATTGCTTGTTCATACTTCATCTTAACCGTCTCAAGCGCCACTTGACGTTCTTTCAGTATCTCCTGTGCCTCATTTAATGCCGTCTGAAGTGCAAAGGTCTCAGCTTCAAGCTCTACTGCTGTTGTATCACCACCTACTCTCATTCTTAATCTTTCACGTAAATGTGCCGCTTCAATCTTTACGTCCATGAGCTCACGTGCTAGACGTTCTGCTTCTTGTTGCTGTGACCGTAAACGACCTTGGTCCATAATGAATTGAAGCTTTTAGGTTGGAAAATGAAATAAAAGTCCCTGTTACTATGGATTAATGATGTGTTCATTTGTTTTTATAAACAAAAGACCAAGAAATGGCTTCAAAAAAGGCAACTTTTGGGAGAGACATGGCTACATCCATACATTTCATACATACATCATACATGCATATTTTGCTTGGATTACTCAGCTAGTCTAAAGGTTCGTCTTATAGCAAATGGTTTAGCTACGGCTATCGTCGTGTTATAAGCTGCTTCTAGTGAGTGGTTGGCTCGCGGATAGTAGATAATCGCTTGGTACCATGAGGCGACGTAATTTCTGTCGTGATCATAGTATCGTCGCCTTCAGTGACAATCTTGCGCGTCCTGATCGAGCCGCCTGTGGCAGACGATGAGGATGCCAACAACTTAGCCGTCTTTCCTGAATCTGGAGACGAGCACGCTGTAATCTTCATGCCTTTCGTCGCATCGCTTGACTTTGGGGCCGGGCGCGTCTGTGATCTGAGCGGCGATTTTGCCGGAGATCCTTGCGCAAACCGGTGTGTTAGCCGACGTCGGGAAGGTGAGTACGCCACACTCAGCTTGGCTGTATCACTGCTACGCGCCGGGCTGCTTGCTGGTGTGCTGGTCCGTGATAGACCTCCAGCACCAGGAGCCCCCGTAACGAGTACCATATCGTCGGCAAACTTCATCATTCCCGCAAACATGCGGCTACGGCGTAATTGACGTTGATTGTTGAATCCTTGGATCATGGTCACCTGGTGGTGCATCTGCTGCTCTTCAGTTAGGTTAAGCAAGTAGTCGGATACATTCACACCTGGAGCGCATACGAAGCCAAGCTCTTGGAAGTAGATGATCAGCGATTCACCGGTGCCGTGAAACAGCACTTCGCCATTTTCCAAAATCAAAACATCTTCGTAGTACGCACATTTTTTCCGCACAACCTGAAGCACCGATAGTACAAATTCCATTTCCATAAACGGCACACCGTCAGGTCCATTGCGGGTTCGACATACCTCGTCTAACAGTAGCGTCCGCCGGAACTTTCCTACACCGAGACCCAGTTGCTGAACAGCGACACCAGGGTAGTGGAAGGATAGGGAGCGCGCAATTGTCCACGATGCTCGCTTTTCTTCGTAAGTCCCCGAGTTGAAAAATCCGTCCTCAAAGCGAACAAAGTTTTGGTCGCAAAAGTCACGAGAAAAGTTCAGCATTTCTTTTCTAGGCATTGCCTTTGACAGATTTCGGCCACGACGCTGGACATATGACACGAATTCAGGAAGCCAAGTCTTTACGAGACGGCGCCGCTTCATCTTCCACCAAGCAGAACCTTCGCTAGTTCTCTGGGCCGAAGTCACCGCAGCTTTCTCCTCCCAACTTGACACAGTCGAATTGCGCTTACTACCATCAGTACCTAGAATACTCGCAACACGAATCATGCCGACTCCAGTTTCATCTTCTTCCTCGCGCGTCTCCGTTTCCACGGATGTGTTTGTCTTGCCAGCTACCGTCTTTGTCTCCGTCGTTGTCTGCACCTCGATCATACGCTTTGTCAGACCGCAAGGAGTGGTCACCTTGCGGATCGTCGTGCGAACCGTCTTCGTTACGATGCTTCCATTCGCTCCCGTCAAGCGGAACACCTCGGTCTTCACCGTGGAGCCAGCAGAGCCGTCCTCATCAGTCTCTTCAGTCCTAGAAGACCCAATTAGAGTCGCATCTGATGCGGATGTACTCGCAATCGTCGCGCTCGTGGCGGTGCTGTCTTCAATCTCCTCGCGCGTCTCCGTCTCCACGGATGTGTTTGTCTTGCCAGCTGCCGTCTTTGTCTCCGTCGTTGTCTGCACCTCGATCATACGCTTTGTCAGACCGCAAGGAGTGGTCACCTTGCGGATCGTCGTGCGAACCGTCTTCGTTACGATGCTTCCATTCGCTCCCGTCAAGCGGAACACCTCGGTCTTCACCGTGGAGCCAGCAGAGCCGTCCTCATCAGTCTCTTCAGTCCTAGAAGACCCAATTAGAGTCGCATCTGATGCGGATGTACTCGCAATCGTCGCGCTCGTGGCGGTGCTGTCTTCAATCTCCTCGCGCGTCTCCGTCTCCACGGATGTGTTTGTCTTGCCAGCTGCCGTCTTTGTCTCCGTCGTTGTCTGCACCTCGATCATACGCTTTGTCAGACCGCAAGGAGTGGTCACCTTGCGGATCGTCGTGCGAACCGTCTTCGTTACGATGCTTCCATTCGCTCCCGTCAAGCGGAACACCTCGGTCTTCACCGTGGAGCCAGCAGAGCCGTCCTCATCAGTCTCTTCAGTCCTAGAAGACCCAATTAGAGTCGCATCTGGTGCGGATGTACTCGCAATCGTCGCGCTCGTGGCGGTGCTGTCTTCAATCTCCTCGCGCGTCTCCGTATCCACGGAAGTACTTGTCTTGCCAGCTGCCACCTTTGTCTTCGTTGTCTCAATAATCAATTCCAACACCTCCGTAGTCTCCTTGTCGGTCGTGCCCGCAGTCGGCTTACGCTTTGGCTTACGGTGCTTCTTCGACTTGGGCTTCTTGCCCTCCGTCACATCCGTCTCATCCACGGTGTCTTCCGTCGTCTCGGTGGTGATCACTTCCGTCACTTCAATCACTTCCGTCGTCTCCTCAGGCTTTACATCCGTGGTTTCGATCGTTTCAGTGGTCACTTCCGTCACCTCCGTAGTCTCCTCCATGATAGCTGGCACCTCCTCAGTCACTTCGACAATCTCAGTGGTCACTTCCGTCACCTCTGTCGTCTCCTCGTCGGTCGTGCCCGCAGTCGGCTTACGCTTTGGCTTACGGTGCTTCTTCGACTTGGGCTTCTTGCCCTCCGTCACATCCGTCTCATCCACGGTGTCTTCCGTCGTCTCGGTGGTGATCACTTCCGTCACTTCAATCACTTCCGTCGTCTCCTCAGGCTTCACATCCGTGGTTTCGATCGTTTCAGTGGTCACTTCCGTCACCTCCGTAGTCTCCTCCGTGATAGCTGGCACCTCCTCAGTCACTTCGACAATCTCAGTGGTCACTTCCGTCACCTCTGTCGTCTCCTCGTCGGTCGTGCCCGCAGTCGGCTTACGCTTTGGCTTACGGTGCTTCTTCGACTTGGGCTTCTTGCCCTCCGTCACATCCGTCTCATCCACGGTGTCTTCCGTCGTCTCGGTGGTGATCACTTCCGATCACTTCCGTCACTTCAATCACTTCCGTCGTCTCCTCAGGCTTCACATCCGTGGTTTCGATCGTTTCAGTGGTCACTTCCGTCACCTCCGTAGTCTCCTCCGTGATAGCTGGCACCTCCTCAGTCACTTCGACAATCTCAGTGGTCACTTCCGTCACCTCTGTCGTCTCCTCGTCGGTCGTGCCCGCAGTCGGCTTACGCTTTGGCTTACGGTGCTTCTTCGACTTGGGCTTCTTGCCCTCCGTCACATCCGTCTCATCCACGGTGTCTTCCGTCGTCTCGGTGGTGATCACTTCCGTCACTTCAATCACTTCCGTCGTCTCCTCAGGCTTCACATCCGTGGTTTCGATCGTTTCAGTGGTCACTTCCGTCACCTCCGTAGTCTCCTCCGTGATAGCTGGCACCTCCTCAGTCACTTCGACAATCTCAGTGGTCACTTCCGTCACCTCTGTCGTCTCCTCGTCGGTCGTGCCCGCAGTCGGCTTACGCTTTGGCTTACGGTGCTTCTTCGACTTGGGCTTCTTGCCCTCCGTCACATCCGTCTCATCCACGGTGTCTTCCGTCGTCTCGGTGGTGATCACTTCCGTCACTTCAATCACTTCCGTCGTCTCCTCAGGCTTCACATCCGTGGTTTCGATCGTTTCAGTGGTCACTTCCGTCACCTCCGTAGTCTCCTCCGTGATAGCTGGCACCTCCTCAGTCACTTCGAAATCTCAGTGGTCACTTCCGTACCTCCGTAGTCTCCTCCGTGATAGCTGGCACCTCCTCAGTCACTTCGACAATCTCAGTGGTCACTTCCGTCACCTCTGTCGTCTCCTCGTCGGTCGTGCCCGCAGTCGGCTTACGCTTTGGCTTACGGTGCTTCTTCGACTTGGGCTTCTTGCCCTCCGTCACATCCGTCTCATCCACGGTGTCTTCCGTCGTCTCGGTGGTGATCACTTCCGTCACTTCAATCACTTCCGTCGTCTCCTCAGGCTTCACATCCGTGGTTTCGATCGTTTCAGTGGTCACTTCCGTCACCTCCGTAGTCTCCTCCGTGATAGCTGGCACCTCCTCAGTCACTTCGACAATCTCAGTGGTCACTTCCGTCACCTCTGTCGTCTCCTCGTCGGTCGTGCCCGCAGTCGGCTTACGCTTTGGCTTACGGTGCTTCTTCGACTTGGGCTTCTTGCCCTCCGTCACATCCGTCTCATCCACGGTGTCTTCCGTCGTCTCGGTGGTGATCACTTCCGTCACTTCAATCACTTCCGTCGTCTCCTCAGGCTTCACATCCGTGGTTTCGATCGTTTCAGTGGTCACTTCCGTCACCTCCGTAGTCTCCTCCGTGATAGCTGGCACCTCCTCAGTCACTTCGACAATCTCAGTGGTCACTTCCGTCACCTCTGTCGTCTCCTCGTCGGTCGTGCCCGCAGTCGGCTTACGCTTTGGCTTACGGTGCTTCTTCGACTTGGGCTTCTTGCCCTCCGTCACATCCGTCTCATCCACGGTGTCTTCCGTCGTCTCGGTGGTGATCACTTCCGTCACTTCAATCACTTCCGTCGTCTCCTCAGGCTTCACATCCGTGGTTTCGATCGTTTCAGTGGTCACTTCCGTCACCTCCGTAGTCTCCTCCGTGATAGCTGGCACCTCCTCAGTCACTTCGACAATCTCAGTGGTCACTTCCGTCACCTCCGTAGTCTCCTCCGTGATAGCTGGCACCTCCTCAGTCACTTCGACAATCTCAGTGGTCACTTCCGTCACCTCTGTCGTCTCCTCGTCGGTCGTGCCCGCAGTCGGCTTACGCTTTGGCTTACGGTGCTTCTTCGACTTGGGCTTCTTGCCCTCCGTCACATCCGTCTCATCCACGGTGTCTTCCGTCGTCTCGGTGGTGATCACTTCCGTCACTTCAATCACTTCCGTCGTCTCCTCAGGCTTCACATCCGTGGTTTCGATCGTTTCAGTGGTCACTTCCGTCACCTCCGTAGTCTCCTCCGTGATAGCTGGCACCTCCTCAGTCACTTCGACAATCTCAGTGGTCACTTCCGTCACCTCTGTCGTCTCCTCGTCGGTCGTGCCCGCAGTCGGCTTACGCTTTGGCTTACGGTGCTTCTTCGACTTGGGCTTCTTGCCCTCCGTCACATCCGTCTCATCCACGGTGTCTTCCGTCGTCTCGGTGGTGATCACTTCCGTCACTTCAATCACTTCCGTCGTCTCCTCAGGCTTCACATCCGTGGTTTCGATCGTTTCAGTGGTCACTTCCGTCACCTCCGTAGTCTCCTCCGTGATAGCTGGCACCTCCTCAGTCACTTCGACAATCTCAGTGGTCACTTCCGTCACCTCCGTAGTCTCCTCCGTGATAGCTGGCACCTCCTCAGTCACTTCGACAATCTCAGTGGTCACTTCCGTCACCTCTGTCGTCTCCTCGTCGGTCGTGCCCGCAGTCGGCTTACGCTTTGGCTTACGGTGCTTCTTCGACTTGGGCTTCTTGCCCTCCGTCACATCCGTCTCATCCACGGTGTCTTCCGTCGTCTCGGTGGTGATCACTTCCGTCACTTCAATCACTTCCGTCGTCTCCTCAGGCTTCACATCCGTGGTTTCGATCGTTTCAGTGGTCACTTCCGTCACCTCCGTAGTCTCCTCCGTGATAGCTGGCACCTCCTCAGTCACTTCGACAATCTCAGTGGTCACTTCCGTCACCTCTGTCGTCTCCTCGTCGGTCGTGCCCGCAGTCGGCTTACGCTTTGGCTTACGGTGCTTCTTCGACTTGGGCTTCTTGCCCTCCGTCACATCCGTCTCATCCACGGTGTCTTCCGTCGTCTCGGTGGTGATCACTTCCGTCACTTCAATCACTTCCGTCGTCTCCTCAGGCTTCACATCCGTGGTTTCGATCGTTTCAGTGGTCACTTCCGTCACCTCCGTAGTCTCCTCCGTGATAGCTGGCACCTCCTCAGTCACTTCGACAATCTCAGTGGTCACTTCCGTCACCTCTGTCGTCTCCTCGTCGGTCGTGCCCGCAGTCGGCTTACGCTTTGGCTTACGGTGCTTCTTCGACTTGGGCTTCTTGCCCTCCGTCACATCCGTCTCATCCACGGTGTCTTCCGTCGTCTCGGTGGTGATCACTTCCGTCACTTCAATCACTTCCGTCGTCTCCTCAGGCTTCACATCCGTGGTTTCGATCGTTTCAGTGGTCACTTCCGTCACCTCCGTAGTCTCCTCCGTGATAGCTGGCACCTCCTCAGTCACTTCGACAATCTCAGTGGTCACTTCCGTCACCTCTGTCGTCTCCTCGTCGGTCGTGCCCGCAGTCGGCTTACGCTTTGGCTTACGGTGCTTCTTCGACTTGGGCTTCTTGCCCTCCGTCACATCCGTCTCATCCACGGTGTCTTCCGTCGTCTCGGTGGTGATCACTTCCGTCACTTCAATCACTTCCGTCGTCTCCTCAGGCTTCACATCCGTGGTTTCGATCGTTTCAGTGGTCACTTCCGTCACCTCCGTAGTCTCCTCCGTGATAGCTGGCACCTCCTCAGTCACTTCGACAATCTCAGTGGTCACTTCCGTCACCTCTGTCGTCTCCTCGTCGGTCGTGCCCGCAGTCGGCTTACGCTTTGGCTTACGGTGCTTCTTCGACTTGGGCTTCTTGCCCTCCGTCACATCCGTCTCATCCACGGTGTCTTCCGTCGTCTCGGTGGTGATCACTTCCGTCACTTCAATCACTTCCGTCGTCTCCTCAGGCTTCACATCCGTGGTTTCGATCGTTTCAGTGGTCACTTCCGTCACCTCCGTAGTCTCCTCTCGTGATAGCTGGCACCTCCTCCGTCACTTCGACAATCTCAGGGTCACTTCCTTCACCTCTTTTTTCTCCTCTTCGGTCGCGCCCCCCAGTCGGCTTACGCTTTGGCTTACGGTGCTTCTTCGACTTGGGCTTCTTGCCCTCCGTCACATCCGTCTCATCCACGGTGTCTTCCGTCGTCTCGGTGGTGATCACTTCCGTCACTTCAATCACTTCCGTCGTCTCCTCAGGCTTCACATCCGTGGTTTCGATCGTTTCAGTGGTCACTTCCGTCACCTCCGTAGTCTCCTCCGTGATAGCTGGCACCTCCTCAGTCACTTCGACAATCTCAGTGGTCACTTCCGTCACCTCTGTCGTCTCCTCGTCGGTCGTGCCCGCAGTCGGCTTACGCTTTGGCTTACGGTGCTTCTTCGACTTGGGCTTCTTGCCCTCCGTCACATCCGTCTCATCCACGGTGTCTTCCGTCGTCTCGGTGGTGATCACTTCCGTCACTTCAATCACTTCCGTCGTCTCCTCAGGCTTCACATCCGTGGTTTCGATCGTTTCAGTGGTCACTTCCGTCACCTCCGTAGTCTCCTCCGTGATAGCTGGCACCTCCTCAGTCACTTCGACAATCTCAGTGGTCACTTCCGTCACCTCTGTCGTCTCCTCGTCGGTCGTGCCCGCAGTCGGCTTACGCTTTGGCTTACGGTGCTTCTTCGACTTGGGCTTCTTGCCCTCCGTCACATCCGTCTCATCCACGGTGTCTT